AGTCTCCTCGCAAGTTCTGGTTGCGAAGGTCGGCTGTGCGGTCCTCAGTGAACCCTTCGTACGGCACCACCGATCCGGCTGAACGGGTACGCGATTGGTAGGTGAATTCGAAGCGACGTCCGTCGCGGAACACTACCTCCCATTGCAGGCCGTCATCGGTGCGGTGGGGCTGAACGATTGCGCCCATGGGCACAAAGTCGGCATAGCCGCGCACGTGGATGGCCTCTTGTGGGCAAAGCTTGACGCACGCGTAGCACTCCGAGCACATGTCGGGTTCCTGGTTGAGGCCCTTGTTGGCATCTATGTCCAAGACCATGAGGTCGTTTGGGCAGATGTAGACGCATAGCGGTCCCTGGTGCTCCGTGGCACAGGCGTCGCATGCATTGGGGTTTACGAAAGTAGGCATGGCTTACCCCCGAAATCCGATTCTTTTCAGCCGGCTCTGGCTGCCTGGAATTGCAGCAAAGCAAAACCCCCTACATCAGGTGTGAGGGGGTTGCGAAGGACACAACTTATTTAGGCTGGTGCTCCGGACAGGTGCAACAGGCCATCTCCGGCACCGTGATTACCGGTGTACGATTCTCCAGATATTCTGATGTGACGAAAGGAGAACCCATTCCGTATTTCTCAGCGCAGTGACGCACGGCCTCCAACACCTGTGGCCTCAACGTAGTGACTGCGGGTCCCACTCCGCCGCTTATGATGCTGCGAATCAATGTTCCTGCCAAATCCTGCTTGCTGTCCCTGTGGCCGCAGATTCCCTCGTATGCGACGCTCTCGCAGACTGGACAATACCACCACTCCAGCGTGAGCACGGACTTTATACCAAGGTCGGGAAGTGTGTCAAAGACTTCGTGAGCAGCGTATCGACCATAGTGGTTGCCCACGCCTGCATGGTCGCGGCCGAACATGTGGTGCGTGCAACCGAGATTCTTGCGCACAATGGCGTGAAAGACGGCCTCACGCGGACCGGCGTAACGCATGTCCCACATCAGAGTCGAGGTCTCGTGTATTTCAGGCAGGAAGAACCCTTCAGCCCGAAGGAGGGCGTGAGTGAGCACGATGGCTTCGTCGATGTAGTCGCCCGGTTTTTTCTCCCCGATTACGGCGCTCACGAGAATCCCGTCCGCCCCGGATGCCAGGTACGCGCCCTTCATCATCATTTCGTGCCCTGCGTGAGGCACATTGCGTGTCTGGTGCGCCACCGCGTACTTCCAGCCCAACTCGTCCAGCCGGGAACGAAGCTGCTCTGGCGTCTTCCAGAACTGGTCAAAAGGCGGGTTGACTCGTGGTGGGTTGACCAAGGTTACCTTACCGGCTACAAACGTGTCCTCCAGGGCCATTGTTCGGGCCACGCCGGGATGTTCCGGATCGTTGGTGCCAAAGACATGCTGGGCCATAAAAGCCCTGTCGTAGGAATAGACCTCGGAAACGTCCAGTACTGCCAAGGGCTGATCTTGGTGATTCAGCAGGACGCGACTGCCGATTACTCCGCCCAGGGCTGCCCATTCCCTAGAGGATACATCGAGGATGATGGGTATGCTCCACACCAACCCGCTGGACAACCGCATCTTTCTCACTACTGAGTCCAAGTCTGAACGGCCCATAAAGCCATCCAGCGGGGAGAAGGCTCCGTAGGCGAGGTTGATGATCTCGCGAGCGATTTGCTCGTTAACCGCGAGGCCTGGCAACCCGGCAACGAGGTGTGGCGCCTCTGATGAAGGCGCCACCGATAATTTCAGTTTGCCGCCATGGGGCGAGAGACTATTGTCGGCAGCCATATCCAGGCCCGAGTGAATGGAGAATCGGTCGACCCGACCGGAAGGTAGACCCGTGTCGCAACAAGTTCCCAGCGTCGCCTTACTCGGCCGACACTGCTGCCCCGCCCTCCCGCTGGGCTGCTCCCCTGGACTCTGCAGCCGTGGCTTGCCACAGTTGATAGGAGTATCAGCCCGACCGCGGCCAGTGCCACGATCACCCGGCCGACGCGCCTGCCCGGTATACGCATCCTAGTTGTTCTCTCCACACGAATATTGCCCGCACATCCCGGCTGAATCACTACCAGGCAGCGTGGCCACAGAAGTTGTCGATTGCCGCAGGCAGTATATCGTAAGCCCCGAATCGCGGCTAGTGCTGAGGCAGAAAGGCCGGTAGTACAGTCCCAGTGGTCGAGTTCCTAGTTTTCCTGAGTATGTTGCCATTGGCTTAAGTTGTCCCACGTTACTTGATTGCCTAGCAGAGTGCTCGGGACCCGACGAGGTCGAGAACCGGCTCTGCGACGAGAGGTCCTCTGACACCCCCACGAAAACCCTGACATTTACTGCCATTTCCCGTAATCATTGTCTCCGTGAGCGACTCTGCCGAAGCTGCCAAGGGCCAGACGGGAGACCCGGTAGCACCGCCGGCCTGATGAAAATTCCCACTATTCCGCTCATTTTCGCTAATTTCAGTTCATCCCTCAGGGCAATCGCGTCTTATTACTCAGCACACAAAATTGGTTTGAATGGCGGTGGAGATGGGAGTGGCAGTGCCTCCTTCGGTTCCGGGTGCGAGGGTAGACGGGGGTTTGGGTTCCCGCTTTCGCGGGAATGACGACCAATAGGGCCTCCAGCGTTTAAGACGCGATTGCCCTGGTTCATCCCTTGTCTTCCCCGGCTTCGTTTACAGAGCCCTGCTGATGTTGGAAGGGCAAGAATCTATCTCCAAACAATCATGTCAATCATGTTCGGTTTCCGTTGCACCATTGGAGGCAAGAGCCACTGGATTCCCGCGAAAGCGGGAATGACTATGGGCACTGGGATGATGATTTGGGCTTCCGAGAGTTCTGAGATGGTTTCTAAATCAATGGCAGATCGTGCAAAGAATATATGTTCGATAATAGTGATATGTAGCCCAGAATGCAAGGAGTGAGAGTCAGAAGGCAGGGCAATCGCGTCTTATTACTCAGCACACAAAATAGGTCTGAATGGCGATGGAGATGGGAGTGGCAGTGCCTCCTTCGGTTCCGGGTGCGAGGGTAGACGGGGGTTTGGATTCCCGCCTGCGCGGGAATGACGACCTATAGGGCCTCCGGCGTTTAAGACGCGATTGCCCTGAGTCAGAAGGGCAGCGTTTCGAATGAGGTGTTTTGATTGATGGGGCCCCCTTGGTGCAGGGTGGCAGGTTGTGGGGGCGAACAGGCGGTGCGCATCCTTTCCCGCCTGCGCGGGAATGACGACTTATAGGGCCTCCGGCGTTTAAGACGCGATTGCCCTGGTTCAGAAGGGCAGCGTTTCGAATGAGGTGTTTTGATTGATGGGCCCCCTTGGAGCAGGGCGCCAGGTTGTGGGGGCGAACAGGCGGTGGGCATCCTTCCCCGCCTGCGGCACTCACGGTTGCGGCGTTACACATGGGAAGCGGTCCTGAATCTCTCTCTGGTTCTCTCCTGATCAAGGTAGGCGGGAGGAGTTCGTTCTCTACCTCTGCCGGTTCCCAAGCCCGGGTAATTTTCTTGGCCACCTTTCCAAATGCAGAAAGTAATAGGGTTCAAGAGAAAGCGATCCGCTTTGTCACCCTGGTACTTACGGACGTCAATACTGGAGGGCGCCGGGGTCAATAGAGCAGCGTTGATGGAGAATGAAAATGATGCAAACAATTCATTGGGGCTTGGGGTCGCGGTGCTGACTTGATTGCCACGTTTGTTCCGGAAAACTTGTCGTGTGATACTATGTTCTGCATAGAATCGGGTGCTCGATACCAGTCAATGTCAGGAGACGCAAATGCTGGAATACAAGCCTAATATAGTTCTCTCAAACGAAGAATTTAATGTCGTCGGCACGAGGCCCATACGGCCCGACGGCGCCGAGAAAGTCACCGGGCGGGCGCGATACGGCGCCGACCAGAACCTGCCTGGGCTGCTTTTCGGCAAGATACTGCGAAGTCCTCACTCCCACGCAAACATCAAGTCGATTGATACGAGCGCGGCCGAGGCATATCCGGGAGTCCACGCCGTTGTCACATCCGCCGACTGGCCGGAGACCTCTGGACGGCTGGCGGACCTAGCCGAGGGCGCCATTCAGAACCTGGGCTTTCTCAGCATGAACGTGCTGGCCCGGGGCAAGGCGCTGTACAAGGGCCACGCCATCGCGGCCGTGGCCGCTGCCAGCCCGCACGTGGCCGAGCAGGCGCTGGATTTGATCAAGGTGGACTATGAAGTCCTCACCCCGGTGCTCAGCGCCGATGCCGCCATGAAGCCCGACGCGCCGACGGTACACGAGAAGCTGGCCAGCCTGTCCAATCCGGCGCTACGCCCCGGCGGTCTGCTCAGCGACGACGACGACGCCAAGGGCAGCAACATCGCCAACCACTTCGAGTTCCGCCTCGGGGACGTTGAGGAGGGCTTCAAGCAAGCCGACGTGGTTGTCGAGAAGGAGACCGAGACCGTGCCGGTGCACCAGGGCTACATCGAGCCCCACGCCGGCACCGCCCAGTGGGGAGCCGATGGCAAGCTGACCATCTGGTCCAGCAGCCAGGGCCAGTTCACCGTCCGCGACCACACCGCCCGGTTCCTGGGCATCCCGGTAGCCGACGTCAAGGCCATACCGCTGGAGATCGGGGGCGGTTTCGGAGCCAAGACCGTGCTCTATGTGGAACCCGTAGCAGCCCTGCTGTCCCGGAAGACCGGCCACCCGGTGAAGGTGCAAATGTCCCGCAAGGAGGTCTTCGAGGCCACGGGCCCGACCTCCGGCACCAAGATCAGTGTGAAGCTGGGCGCTACCAAAGAGGGCAAGCTGGTCGCCGCCGAGTCCACCTTGATATACGAGGCGGGCGCCTTCCCCGGTTCGCCCGTATCCCCGGGCGCCCAGTGCATGATGGGACAGTACGACGTTCCCAACGCTCACCTCGTGGCCTATGACGTCGTTATCAACCGGCCCAAGTCTGCGGCCTACCGTGCCCCCGGAGCGCCGGCCTCGGCATTCTGCATGGAGACTGCTCTCGACGAGTTGGCCGAGAAGCTGGGCATGGACCCGCTGGAATTGCGCCTGTTGAACAGCTCCAAGGAAGGAGTGCGCCGGGTCACTGGCCCAATGACGCCCAAGGTCGGCTACATAGAGACCCTGCAGGCCCTCAAGGACCACCCGCACTACAACACGCCTATCGACGGCAAGACTGACGGCAGCAACGGCCATATCAAGCGGGGTCGAGGTGTCGGCAGCGGATTCTGGGGCAACAACACCGGCCCGGCCAGCGCCCTCGCCGTGGTCAACTCCGACGGTTCTGTCAGCCTGACCGAGGGCTCGCCGGACATCGGCGGCAGCCGCGCCGCGGTGTCCCAGCACATTGCCGAGGTTCTGGGCATACCGGTGGAGGACATCAAGCCGCAGGTCGGCGACACCGACAGCATCGGCTTCACCTCCAACACCGGTGGCAGCAGCGCCACATTCAAGTCCGGCTGGGCCGCCTATGAGGCGGGACAGGACGTGAAGCGGCAGATGCGCGAGCGCGCCGCCCGCATCTGGGACATTCCCGTTGACGACGTGGAGTTCAGCGACGGCGTGCTGCAGCACAAGTCGGACTCCGAGCTTCGACTGACCTTCAAGCAGCTTGCCGCCCGGCAGGTCGGGACCGGCGGCCCCATCGTGGGGCGGGCCGGCGTGAATCCTCCCGGAGCCGGCCCCTCCATCGGCGTGCACCTGGTGGACGTTGAAGTGGACACTGAGACGGGCAAGGTGGATGTGCTGCGCTACACGGCCGTTCAGGATGCTGGCAAGGCCATTCACCCCAGCTATGTTGAGGGACAGATCCAGGGTGGTGTCGTGCAGGGTATCGGCTGGGCGCTTAACGAGGAGTACCGGTTTGATGACCAGGGAGGAATGCTGAACAGCAGCTTCCTGGACTACCGGATGCCCATCAGCCTCGACCTCCCGATGATTGACACGGTTATAGTCGAAATCGCGAATCCGGCCCATCCCTACGGACTGCGCGGAGTGGGCGAGGTGCCCCTCGTGCCGCCGCTGGCCGCCCTCTCCAACGCCATCTACGACGCCATCGGGGTACGCCTGAACTCGCTGCCCATGTCGCCGGACAAAGGTGCTGGAAGGGCTCTGGAGCCAGAACGGCCAGAGCTAACCCTGACCCCACGCTGGCGCTCAACCGGAGAAAGGCATTACGATGCAGGGGCTGGTCCAATACCCGCCCCTGCGGTGTTTAATAGCCAGTTACCAGAAATAGGCCAATGACAAGAGGTGGCGCAATGCCGGAAGTATGGCTCCCGCCGCGTTTACAGTCCCTGACTGGAGGCCGCCAGCAGGTGGTGGTTCCCGGCGCGACAGTCCGACAGGTGATCAATAACCTAGAGCGTGAGTATCCCGGCACTCGCGATCTCATCATGGACATGGAGGAGGATGACATTCTCCCGGGACTGGCCGTAGTGGTGGACGGCGAGACCAGCCTCCTCGGACTACTCGAACGGGTCCAGGAAACCAGCGAAGTCCACTTCCTGCCAGCTATCGGCGGTGGGTAGAGCTATTAGCTTAACCATGACACCGTCGACGAAACCCCCAAGCCCCCAGGCCCAGCGCGAAGTCCGGCGGGATACGCCACTCCGCCGCGCCCGGACCTGCTACGGTCACTTGGCAGGCGTCGCAGGTGTGGAGCTGATGGACGAATTGCTTGGCAGAGGATGGCTGGAGTTATTGTCTCCTAATTTTGGCGCCTCGCGCATCCACTACGTCCCTACGGCGAATGGACAGGTGGCCCTTGCCGAACGAGGTGTTGCAATCCCGGCGGCCAAGGGACGCAGCCCCGCTGCTTCTCCTGCATGGACTGGACGGAACGCCGCCCCCACCTCGGCGGCGCGCTAGGACGCGCCCTCGTCGCCGCTCTGGCCGCGGCTGGATACGTGGAGCAGACGCCGGGTTCCCGCGTCGTTTCAGTAACCGGCGAGCTTCGGAACTGGGTCAACGGCTGAACTACCCCATACCCTGTGGTCTCTCCTTCCCGTCGCAATCCGTCGCAATTTTCCGTCGCCAGCTATTCCTCAGGAATTACCCTATGCCTATAATCCCGGCGAGGTTGGACGCTACTATGACGTTGCGCTAGAATACCGCCTCAAGAGCGAACGCGTCCGAATTGGCTACAAAAATCGCGAATGGGAGGAGGCTCATGACCCAGGAACTCACCCCCTCGCAACGCAAGTGGTACGACTTGGCAGCCAGCCACGCCGACACCTTTGCCCAACGGGCCGCCGAATATGACCTGGAAGGAAAATTCCCTTTCGAAAACTACGCGGAAATGAAGGAGTCGGGTTACAGTTCCATGCCCATCCCGGCGGACTGCAACGGCGGCGGCGCCGACCTGCTGGATATCTGCATCGCCCAGAACCGCCTGGCGCAGGGCGACGGCGCCACGGCCCTGGCGGTGAACATGCACTTCGGCCTCCCCTTCGTGATGACCGACCTGATCGCTCTCGGCGATGATGGCCCCAAGGAGCTGCTCACCAAGATCGCCGACGAGCAGCTCATCGTGTTCGGCGCCATTACAGACCCGCAGGTCGACAGCTACAAGGGCATCACCGGTCTTGGATACACCACTGTTGAGGCAGTGAAGGAGGGCGACAAGTTCCGAATCAACGGACGCAAGGGATTCGGGACCAACAGCCCCATCGGCGACCTTTTCGGCTGTACGGCGGTGTACGACGACCCCGACGACGGTGAGGTCGGCCTGATATTTGTGCTGCCATCGGACACCGAGGGCCTGGTCTGCCTGAACGACTGGGACACCATGGGGATGCGGGCCAGCCAAAGTCACAGCTGGCGTCTTGAGGACGTCTTCGTCGAGGAAGACCACGTTTTCAAACACAACCTCTGGGAGTGGGACAAGTTTGCCAGGGGCCTGTGGGCCTGGCACGGCGGCACCTTCGGCTCCGTCTACCTGGGAATCGCGAAAGCGGCGCGGGATTTTGCCATCAACCAGACCAGGGACCGCACCCGTCTGCCCTTCAAGCACCCCGAAAGCTACTACCCAGGCCACCAGTTCCTGGCTGCAGAGATGGACATCGCCCTGCATGCGGGCTGGACCTGGCAGAAGAGCATCGCCGAGCGCCTGATGGACATAAATAACCGCGACGACGGCACCATCGTCGAGGCCGTGGCCATGCAGTATTTCTGCATGCGGTCTGCTATGGACGTAGTCAGCAAGGCGGTGGACATGGTGGGTGGCGCGGCGCTTGCACGGAGGCTGCCCCTGGAGCGCTACTATCGCGACGTGCGGGCAGGCCCCATCCACCCCATCAGCGGGTTCGATGCGCTGGAACTGATTGGCAAGCACGCCTTCGGTCTGCCGCGGGACGTAGAGCCGCGGTACGTGTAGCTGCTAGGCAATTCCATTAAAGCGGGAGTGGTGTTCGACGCCGCTCCTGCTTTTCGTTTTGGTACCCAGCCAATTTCCTGGAAGCCCGGAATCCGATGTTTGATTGCAGGGCCAGTCGGTGCTAGGCTCATTTGTGGATATTGAATCATACGAATCATCCCCTGACTGGAGGGTCTTGACCGATGGCAGGCTACATGATTGGCAACATCACCATTACTGACCCGGATACATTTGCCGAGTACGGGAAAAGAGTCCCCGAGACTGTGGCTCGATTTGGCGGAACTTACGTTGTGCGCGGTGGCACACCGGAGAGAATTGAAGGCGAATACGAGCCTGTGCGCATTGTCGTCTTGCAGTTCGAAAGTGTTGAGAAGGCCAAGGAGTGGTATTACTCGGACGTATACGCGCCACTGAAGGAAATGCGAATGAAGGCCTCCGCCGGCGACCTCTATTTCGTCGAGGGTGTTTAGCACTGTCCGCGACCGCGATGCAGGCTTGCATGTAACGGGTCCATGGCAACCGAAGTAAGAGAACCGGAAGCTGTTTCCACCTCCCTGAACATTGGAGGGATGACCTGCGCTGCTTGCGTATACCACGTTGAGCGCGCGCTGAGCGGTGTGCCGGGTGTCGTGAATGCGACCGTCAACCTCGGCGTGGAAAGGGCCACAGTCGAGTACTCCCCCGAGCCTGGCAGGGCTGGAGGAGTTGCGCCGCGCCGTGGAAGACGCGGGGTACACGGTTGAGCCCGTCGGCGACCGCGAGCACGAACTGGAACGGCTGTCCAAGGTCCGCGAGGTGCGCGCCCTGCGAGATCGCCTGGCTTTCGCAGCTACGGGAGCCATCCTCCTTTTCCTGGGCGCTTTCGGCGGGTTTCCCTGGGTCTCCGGATGGATGGACTTGGCCTTTTACCCCTTCATCCTCTGGGCGCTGGCCAGCGCCGTGCTATTGTGGGCAGGTGCTCCGTTTTACCGATCCGGCCTAGCTGCGGTCAGGCATGGGTCTGCCAATATGCATACCCTCATCGCCTTGGGAACGGCCACTGCTTATGGCTACAGCGCTGCCGTGGTCCTGCTGGAAGCTTTCGTTCCATCGGTGCTACTGAACGCGGGGATCGACGGCAAAGTATTCTTTGAGACAGCAGCCGTAATCATCGCCCTTGTGTTGCTCGGGCGATACCTCGAGGCCAGGGCTCGCGGCCAGACCTCGGAAGCCATCCGTCGGCTCATCGAGCTGCGACCCACCATGGCCAGAGTGGTCCGCGATGACGTAGAAATCGAAGTCCCCGTTGAACAGGTGGCATTTGGAGACCTGCTGCTGGTACGGCCCGGTGAATACATTCCGGTTGACGGCGAGGTTACTGGCGGTTATTCCGCCGTCAACGAGTCCATGCTGACCGGCGAAAGCATGCCAGTTGAAAAGTCTCCAGGAGACCAGGTATATGGTGCCACCCTGAACCAGCAGGGCGCCCTGTTTTGTCGCGCAACCCGCGTTGGTGAGGAAACGGCGCTGGCCCAGATCATCCGTCTGGTGCAGGATGCCCAGGCTACGAGGGCCCCCATACAGCGCCTGGCCGACCAGGTCTCTGCCTACTTTGTGCCGTCTGTAGTTGCTGTGGCGGCTGCTACTTTCCTACTATGGCTATTCATCGGACCGGCTCCTGCTTTGACATTCGCCATATTGGTGTTTGTAGCGGTGCTTATAATAGCCTGCCCCTGTGCCCTGGGGCTGGCGACCCCGACCGCACTGATAGTCGGTATAGGGAGGGGCGCAGAACAGGGAGTGCTGGTCAAGCAGGCCGAGACCCTCGAGGCCGCTCATAAAGTGGATACGGTTATTCTCGACAAGACGGGAACCCTGACGACCGGTAAGCCAGTAGTAACTGCACTCTCCGCAATTGGCATGGAGGAGAACCAGTTATTGGCGCTGGCCGCCTCGGCGGAGCGAGGTTCCGAGCACCCATTGGCGGAGGCCATTGTCGGGGAGGCGCAGAGTCGGGGTTTGGTCCTGGAGTCCATGACGGGCTTGAATAACATACCGGGACAGGGAATTGAGGCGCAGGTCGGTGGCGAGACAGTTTTGCTGGGCAACCGCCGGCTGATGGAAGAATGTGGAGTCGTCCTGGACGGTTTGTTGCCAGAAGCAAACTCCATGGCCGGGCAGGGTATGACTACCATGTTCCTTGCGTCCAGTGGCGAGGCCAGGGGTGTCATTGCCGTTGCTGACACTCTGAAGCCTGGGGCCAAAGAAGGGGTTGCACGGCTGCGTGATATGGGCCTCACTGTGGTGATGCTCACCGGCGACAACGCGTCGACGGCCTACAACATCGCTCGACAGGTCGGTATCGAGCGCGTGGAGGCTGAAGTGCTCCCCGGGGACAAGGCGGAAAATCGTACGAGGCTTACAAAGAGACGGGCACGTGGTCGCCATGGTCGGCGACGGGATCAATGATTCCCCGGCTTTGGCCCAAGCCAACGTGGGGATGGCCATAGGTGGCGGCGCCGACATTGCTGCGGAATCAGCGGATATCACCTTGATGCGCGGAGACGTGGCCAGCGTCGCAACCTCAATAGCCCTCAGCCGGCAGACCATACGCACCATCAAGCAGAACCTGTTCTGGGCCTTCTTTTACAATGTGATGCTTGTTCCGGTGGCCGCAGGAGCGTTATACCCGCTCTTCCAGGCAATCGGCGGAGTTCCAGGATCGCTGGATTTCTTCTTCGGGACCCAGGGTTTCCTGAACCCGGTGCTCGCTGCCGTAGCAATGGCCTTTAGCTCGGTCACCGTGATCGGCAATTCTCTCAGGCTGCGCGGTTTCAGAATGAAGACGCAGCTATCTTGAGGAGGTGGATGGATGGCCACAGCAATTGATCCGGTATGCCTGATGGAAGTCGATACCGGCAACCCGCCTGGCGGCCAGAGCGATTACGAGGGAACCCAGTATTACTTCTGTGGGCCAGGCTGCAAGGTGGCCTTTGACAGGGATCCCGTCCACGTACTGTCCGGCGAGGGTGTGGTGCCCATGGAGCACGGCCACTCGGATTCCCCTCCCAAGCGAGGCGGGATCATGGGCTTTCTCCGTGGACTCTTTGGCGGCAAGTCCCTCTCGGATTGATGAGTCAGCCCCGAATGATGGGCAGGTCCTGCCCTTAAACCAATCAATCGAGGCCGTGGATCTCCCAGTCCGCCTTCTCCGAGACCAGGGTGACGTACATGCCTAGGCTGCCTTGCCGCAGCACCTCTTGTACTTGCGGCCGCTTCCGCACGGACAGCTGGCGTTACGTCCCACCTTGGCGCCCCCCGCAGGCTGCGCGTTGCGATTGGGCCCGCTCACCGCCCGCATAGGACTTCCTGTCGACCTGCTTCGGCGGGATGAGCCGTTGCCGCCCATTTGCGAAGCCATCTGAGCCGGGTCCACCGCGACATGGAACAGCGTGCGGACTACGTCCCTCTGTATACGATCCTGCAGGTCGTGGAACATTTTCTGCCCTTCGCTGCGATACATTACCAGCGGGTCTCGCTGGCCATACGCATGCAGGCCGATGCCCGTCCGCAGATTTTCCATGGCCGTCAGGTGCTGGATCCAGTGGGAGTCGATCGCCCGCATCAGCAGAAACCGCTCGGTGAGCCGCATCTGCTCTGATCCAATGGATTCCTCTCGCTCAGCATAGGTCGCTTCAGCGTGAGCCGAGAGTATGCTCATGATATGGTCCAAGGTGTACTGGAATACCTTCTCTTCTTCGTCCAGCTCCTTAGGCACCGGCCCGATCTGGCCCAACTCGTCTATCAGACCACCGGGATTCCAGTCGTCCGAGTGGCGGCCTGGCAGATGCTGGCCCACCAGGCGGGTGTATGACTGACGGAGCATGTCCAGCGTTTTCTCTCGCAGATCGCCGCCGTCCAGAGCCTGGTGCCGGTCCCCGTAGATCACTTCGCGCTGCTTGTTAAGAACGTCGTCGAATTCAAGCAAGTGCTTGCGCATGTCAAAGTGATAGCCCTCCACCTTGACCTGCGCGCCACTGATCGACTTGGTGACCAGTTTGTTCTCTACCGGTGTGTCCTCTTCCAGACCGGTCCAGCCCATGACTGTCTTGATGCGATCGCCGCCGAAGCGCTGCATGAGCTCATCCTCCAGCGACACGTAGAACTGAGAGCTGCCCGGGTCGCCCTGCCTGCCGGCGCGTCCCCGCAGCTGGTTGTCGATGCGGCGGGCGTCGTGATGCTCGGTTCCGAGGACGTAGAGGCCCCCAAGCTCCACCACGTGGTCGTGTTCCTGCTGCCAGTCCTCACGGGTGGTGTCGGCACCGCCGAGGACGATGTCGGTTCCTCGCCCAGCCATGTTGGTGGAAACAGTTACCGCGCCCAACCGACCGGCCTGGGAGATGATACTCGCCTCTCCCTCGTGGTTCTTGGCGTTCAACACCTGATGGCGGACGCCAAGACGACGCAGCCGCTCGCTGAGGAACTCCGAGTCTTCGATTGAGGTGGTCCCGATGAGCAGAGGTTGTTGCGTCTCGTGCAGTTCTACGATCTTGTCGGCGACCGCCTTCCACTTCCCTTCACCGGACTGGTAAACCAAGTCCGACAGGTCCTGCCGCTGCATCGACTGGTTCGTGGGCACCTCTACGACTTCCAGGCCGTAGATGCGGAAAAACTCGTCTGCCTCGGTGGCGGCCGTTCCTGTCATCCCCGCCAGCTTCTCGTACATCCTGAAGTAGTTCTGCAGCGTTACGGTCGCGTATGTGATGCTCTCACGCTGGATCCGCAGGCCTTCCTTGGCCTCCACCGCCTGGTGCAGGCCGTCGGACCAGCGGCGGCCCGGCTGGAGCCTGCCGGTGAACTCGTCTACGATCACGACCTCGCCGTCCCGCAAGACATAATCCTTGTCCCGCTGCTTCATCACGTAGGCGGTGAGGGCGTTTTCCATGTAGTGGACCAGGTGAAAATTCTCGGGATCGTACAAGTTGGACGTGTTGGTCCACTGCTCCATTTTTGCGATGCCATCCTGGGTCAACGAAATGGCCTGGGAGCGGTCATCGATGGTGTAGTCCTCGGCAGGGTCCAGGCGGGGAACCAGCCGGGCGAAGCTCTGGTAGAGCTGGACTGGTTCCTCGGCAGGTCCGCTGATTATGAGTGGGGTGCGGGCCTCGTCAATGAGTATGTTGTCCACCTCGTCGACGATCGCGTAATTCAACTCGCGCTGTACCCGCCGGTCTGCGGAAAGGGCCATGTTGTCTCGCAGGTAGTCGAAACCAAACTCGTTGTTGGTTCCATACGTGATATCCGCGAGGTACGCTTCCTCTCGCGAAACTTGCCGCAGCCATGGAAGTTTGCCGCCCGACTCGTTGGGGTCGTATACGAACCCCGTGTCGTGTTGCAGGCATCCCACCGTGAGCCCCAGGGCGTGATACACCGGCCCCATCCACACCGGATCGCGCCGGGCGAGATAGTCGTTGACCGTTACGACGTGGACTCCGCGCCCTGGCAGCGCATTGGCATAGACCGCCAGTGTTGCAACCAGCGTCTTCCCTTCTCCGGTCCGCATCTCGGCGATCTTACCCTCGTGAAGGGCTGTTCCGCCTATGATCTGGACGTCGTAATGTCGCTGTCCCAAGTTCCTGCGGGCGGATTCCCTGACTGTGGCGAAGGCCTCGGCCAACAGGTCATCCAAGCCCTCCCGCCCCTGCAACCTCTGACGGAATTCGTCAGTTTTTGATCGCAATTGTTCGTCAGTGAGACTCTGAAACTCGTGCTCCAGGGCGTTCACCCTGCCCTTGATGGAGCCCAGCTTTTTAAGAGCCTTTTCGTTTGGGTCGCCTAGAATTTTCTGAAGAACAGAGACCATGGTCCACTATCCTGAAAATGAATTTCCGGGTGGGAATAGACCCGCCCGGAAAAATTGGGCGGAGCCGCGCCCTTAATTTACCATTTCCCTTGCGGGGAGGCGATGTTAAATCTTGCTGACTGTTTCCGGATGGCCGGCGCCCCGCAGTTCGGCCAGGCTGGCTATGTTGTTGTCAGCCATGTAGTTCTGCAGCCCATCCAATACACGCCAAGGCGCATCCAGACTTATAAGGTTGGCGCTACCTACTTGTACGGCAGTCGCCCCCGCGAGGATGTATTCCAGAGCATGTTCGGCATCAAAAATGCCTCCCACTCCTATGATGGGTACATTAACGGCCTGCGCGCACTGGTAGACCAAGGCCAATGACACTGGCCGCAATCCCATACCAGACAGGCCGCCGGTGATGTTTCCCAGTACCGGGCGGCGGCTTTCGAGATCGATTTTCATCGCCGGAAGCGTGTTGCAAATGGTCAGCGCATCGGCTCCTCCATCCACGGCGGCCCTGGCGATTTCCGTGATGTCTGGCACGTTCGGGGAGAGTTTAGCCAGAACAGGAAGGTCGCTGTTGGCCTTGACGGCCGCCACCGCATCGTGGGTCAGGGCCGAACTGTAGCTGAACATTGCTCCGTTCTCGATGTTGGGGCAGCTGAGATTCAGTTCCAGTGCGCTGATGCCAACTGCTTCCTCCGTCATCGCGGCCATCTCGCCGAACTCTCCGACACTATGAGCGGCGAAGCTGAAGAATACAGTCGCGTTCCACTGCACCCATTCCCGCGTCCACTCCCTCACCGCGGTCTCTATACCGGGGTTGATCAGGCCGATGGCATTCAGAAACAGGTGATCACCTGACTCCCACGCTTCCCGGTATGATTCCGGAAACCAGCGAGGCTCCGGATTGCCCTCCCGCGGCCACCGCGTAACCGTTTTGGGGATCACCGCCCCAAGTTTGTGCAGAGGGTGGTTGCCTATGAGACCCCGACCATACCCGTCGTATCCCAAGGTCCCGGAGGCAATCATCACCGGATTCCGCAAGCGCAGTCCAGAGGGATGGCGAGGGGCCAAGTCTACTGACAGTCCCGCGTCCCAGAAATATGTAGATTCTGCCATCTGGTCGCCCCTCACCTGTGTTCCCTCGTATTTTGCTGATTACCCATAGTCAAGACGAAATCTAAAACCTGAGTTCTTCCTGCGGCTTTTAGCTTCTGCTGTTCCCTGGTTATTCCTGTGGGTTTTCGGCGACCTCTTCTACCGCCGCGACAGTCTGTTCCCCGCTTTCGCTGGAAACTTCCTCCTCGTCATCATCGTCATCGTCGTCAATGATATCTTCGAGTTCGTCGTCCTCCTCGCCTTCGGAGGCATATCTCCGGGCCGCCTGCGCCAGCCGAGCAAAATCATCGTCCAATCCGAGGATTTCGATGTCATCAGCGCCTTGTTCCTCGGAAGCTGCCGGGCCGCGAAGCCAGGTGCTTGGGCCCATCGCGGCCATGTCCAGCGCCGGTTTGAGGACGCAGCAACTCTTCCATCCCGGGTATTTCCACCTGGGCTGGGATGAGTCGCCCGATGATCACGTTTTCCTTCAGCCCAAGCAGATAATCCTGCTGGCCCTTTACCGCTGCTTCGGTGAGCACCCTCGTGGTCTCCTGGAAGGAGGCGGCGGACAGGAAGCTGTCGGTCCGCAGCGAGGCGCGGGTTATTCCCAGCAGCACCTGTTCGGCGGTGGCGGGCTCACCACCCTCGGCCAGTACTTTCGCCACCTGCTCCTGGAACGCAAACTTGTCGGCAACCTCGCCCGGAATGAGTTCGGTGTCTCCGGGTTCGGTAACCTGCACCCTGCGCAGCATCTGGCGCAGGATAATCTCGATGTGCTTGTCGTGGATGGTCACGCCCTGCGACTGGTAGACCGCCTGGACCTGATCCACGATGTACGATTGCAGGGCTTCTTTGCCCCGGATTCGCAATATGTCGTGGGGGTTCAGTGGGCCCGAAGTCAACGGGTCGCCTGCATTGATCTTGTCTCCGTCCCTGACCATCAGGTAGGCCGAGGTCGGGATGACGTGCTCCCTGATTTCCATATCCTCCCAGATGACCGTGATGTATTCGTCCGACAATTCGACTCGACCGCCTACAGTAGCCTCGACCGATCCGCCGTCGGAGATCACCGCGAGCCCATGCTCGGAAACTTCCACGCGGCCGCCAGCTCTTGCCGTGGGGACCTGCGCCGCTTCCTCGGCATCCTGGGTCTCCGGCAAGGAGGCCAGCACCATACCTTCGGTGACCTCTTCCCCGTCATCCACCAGTACTTCGGCGCCTTCGGGTAGGACGTATTGTTCTACAGCAGGTACGTCAGCAAGGACATCGCCTGCGTCTACCATGTCGCCATCGCCCACAAGGATCCTGGCGCCCTCTGGCAGCGGAAATTCCTCCCGTACTTCCTCGCGGAAGACCACGCGAAGCACGTTGTTTTCCTCGTCTGTCTCCACCTCCACCTCGCCGTCTATATCGGAGAGTATGGCGGCGCTCTTGGGCACACGGGCCTCGAAGATCTCTTCCACCTGCGGAAGTCCACCGGTGATGTCGAGGTTCTGGGCCTCCACGTCCTGGCGGATCACGTCGGCTTCCCGCTGCAGGTCGTAGCTGTGCCGGTTGGAACTTCCAAGAATCCGGTTAAGTTCGGAGGCCACTCGGAAGTAATCGTCGTCAGAGGTGCCGGCTTGAACCACCCGGCCGACCGCCTCCTCCAGTTCTTTCGCCTCGCTGGACCGACGCAGTTCGTCCAAGATGCGCTCGATTACGACCAGCAACCTCCCTTGCAGGCGGGCGTCGGCTCCTGGAATCTCCTCTATCATCCGGGTGATTTCGTCAATGACCTTCCGAAGCTCGGGGACTACCGCCGTGGCGTCCACCCGCACGCGGGTAACCGCCTCCTGCAGATCTGCCGCAGGAATTTGGCGCACCTCCTCGAGGATCAAGTCAATCTGGTCTGGTAACTCTCTGGCCATTAGCCTCAGCCGGTTCATGGTGTCCCGGCGCTGGTCGCGACGCTGTCCCGCCGACCCCAGCTGCGAGTCGATTCCGGCGTTGAGAACGTCAACGTCGCGGCGGATCTGCGAGACCAGGTCCCTGGCCTGCGAGAGAGAATTGATTTCGCCAAGACGGCTGAGATCGTCGCGAATCCAGTTGATCTGGCCGCGCTGGTTTCTGGCTTCGTTGGTCTGTTCCAAGTACCCCAGGGCTTCCGTCATCCTGGTGGCGATGGTCTGTCGGTCGCTGGACACGTTGAGGCTGAGCTCTTCCTTTGTCCTCCCAGATTTTACCGACAGAGGGCATATCCCTGCGGAACTGGGCTAGCTGCTCGCGAATCTCCACCGGCACTGCCTGCAGCTCACGGGCGCGGGTCAGCACCGCTTCGTCCAGTTCACTGTTGCGACGGCGTACGCCGCCCGTGTGGAACACGCGCATGGTGAGCTGGGTGCCCGGCTCGCCGATGCTCTGGGCCGCGATAATGCCCACCGCCTGGCCTTCCAGAACCGGCTGGTCGGTGGCGGCAAGGTCGCCATAGCACATTCGGCACACCCCGCGATGGGCCTCGCAAGTGAGCGGCGAGCGGATCGGGATTTCGGTGATTCCCGCGGCTACCAGCTGATTGGCCTTATCCAGCGTGATGGTCTCATTGCGGTTGATCAGGATTTCACCGGTCTCCGGGTGGGCCAATGTGTAGGCAGCCAGACGCCCGGTTACACGGTACTGAAGGGTGATGTTGCTGTGGGGGGCCGGCCGCTGGGGTGCCCAGCCGTCCAGCGTGCCGCAGTCCTCGCCCTGCACTATCACTTCCTGGGCGACGTCGATCAGCCTGCGGGTGAGATACCCGCTGCTGGCGGTATTCAGCGCCGTGTCGGTCAGACCCTTGCGGGCGCCGTGCGTGGACAGGAAGTATTCGAGGGCGGGTCAGTCCTTCGCGGAAGTTCGATTTGACAGGCAACTCGATTACGTCGGTGCTGCCTGCCCGGCGCACCAGACCGCGCATTCCCGCCATCTGGTTGATCTGCGAAATGTTACCCTTGGTGCCCGAGAGGGCCATAATGCCGATGCCGCCGTAGTTGGTCAGGTCGCTGCCCACCAGGTCTGCTGTCTCGAACGAGGCCTGGTTCCAGGCGTCAACGATCTTGGCGTGACGTTCCTCCTCCGAAATCAGCCCTACCTCATATTCGGTTTTGTACTGGTCAACCCTTTCCTCGGTGTCGGCCATCACCTGGGCCTTTTCCGGGGACACCTGGATGTCATTGATGGCGATGGTGATGCCCGAGGTCGTGGCGTACCGGAAGCCCAGGTCCTTGATTCTGTCAAGAACTTCGGCGGTCTCGTCATTGGTCAGCAGACGGTAAAGGTTGGCCGTCAGGGCGTTAAGGGCGCTCCGGTCGATGAGCTTGTTCTGGATACGCGCGGCCTCCGGCAGATTCTCATCGAAAACGAATTTGTCCGGGAGGATGGAGTTGAACTCCAAGCGACCCAAAGTTGTCGAGTAATAGCCACCCGGGTTCTCGCCGCCCCGGATGCGCCTGACGTATATGGGGGCCCGAAGGTCAATTTCACTGGAACCGTACGCATCTCGGGCCTCCGAGATGTCCTGGAATTGTCGCCCGGCGCCCTTCACGTCGGGCCGTTTTTCGGGCGTATCGATGTCGGTCAGGTAGTAGCAGCCCATCACCATGTCCAGCGTGGGAGCCACCAGCGGATCGCCCGACGCCGGCGACAGCATGTTATGGGTGCTGAGCATGGCCTCCTGGGCCTCCAGGACCGCCATGCGCGACAGCGGAACGTGTACTGCCATCTGGTCGCCGTCGAAGTCGGCGTTAAAGGCCGAGCAGACCAGCGGGTGAATCTGGATGGCATGTCCATCAATAAGCACCGGCATGAACGCTTGAATGCCGAGACGGTGCAGGGTGGGTGCGCGGTTCAGCAGAACCGGGCGGTTCTTGATCACATCTTCGAGAATGTCCCACACCTCGCCACGGGCCCGCTCCACCATCCGCTTGGCGTTCTTGATGTTCGGAGCGATTCCCAGCATCACCAAGCGGTGCATGACGAAGGGCTTGAACAGCTCGAGTGCCATCCGCCGGGGCAGGCCGCACTCGTTCATCTTCAGTTCTGGGCCGACCACGATCACGGACCGGCCGCTGTAGTCCACACGCTTGCCCAGCAGGTTCTGCCGGAAGCGCCCCTGCTTGCCACGCAACAGGTCGGAAAGGCTCTTGAGCTTGTGGTTGTGGCTCCCCTGTATGGGCCGGCCACGGCGCCCGTTGTCGATCAGGGCGTCTACCGCCTCCTGCAGCATGCGCTTTTCGTTGCGAATAATGATTTCTGGTGCACCCAGGGTCATCAGGCGCTTCAGGCGGTTGTTGCGGTTGATTACGCGGCGGTACAGGTCATTGAGGTCGCTGGTGGCAAACCGCCCGCCGTCCAGCTGCACCATTGGGCGCAGTTCAGGTGGCAGCACTGGCATAACAGTGAGGATCATGTCCTCAACGCGAGTCCCGTCGCTTGAGCTGCCGTCGGAGCGGCTGCCGCTCTGGCGGAATGCCTCCACTACCCGGAGCCGCTTGATCGCCTTTTGGCGGCGCTGGCCTGAGGTGGACTGCATGTCGTTGATTAGCTGGTCCCGCAGCGTCTCCAGGTTGACGGCGCGCAGGATAGCCAGAATGGCCTCGGCGCCCATGCCGGCTTCAAAAGTGCCAGGGTACCTGTCCTTTAATTCCCGGTAGCGCGACTCTGCCAGCAGCTTCATCTTTTGCAGGTCGTTAAGTTCGTCCAGCGTCACCTTCAGCTGAGCCGCCAGATCGCTCAGCTCAGTGGACAGTTGATTATTGATGGCATCGATCTGCCGCTGGAGCTCCAGCAGTTCGGCAACAGGGGCGCCGCCTTCGGGAGCGAATTCGGTGGCGGGGTCCTTGGTTTCCGGCTCAACACCGCCGGTGTAGCTCAGGACCAGACGGTTCAGCTCTTCCAGCTCGTCGGCCGCATTGCTGCGGCGCCGTTCGACCTCCAACTCGTGCTTCAGTTGCTCCGCCTCAATCGTCTCCTTGCGGAGGTCCTCATCAACAGAAACGACGATGTGTTGGGCGAAGTAGAGCACCCGCTCCAAGTTGCGAGGCGAAAGGTCGAGCAGCAGACCCAGCCTGCTGGGGTTGGTCTTGCTGAACCAGATGTGCGCCACTGGTGCAGCCAGCCGGATGTGCCCCATGCGTTCCCGACGCACCTTGGCCCGGGTCACTTCGACACCGCAGCGGTCGCAGACGACGCCCCGGTATCTGATCCGCTTGTACTTTCCGCAGAAGCACTCCCAGTCCTTGGTGGGACCGAATAGCCGCTCGCAGAAAAGGCCGTCTTTTTCAGGCCGCAGCGTGCGATAGTTGATGGTCTCCGGCTTGGTGACTTCGCCGTGCGACCAGCTGAGAATCTGCTCGGGCGATGCTATGGAGATGCGTATGGCGTTGAAATCAGTCGCCGTGGTCTCCGTCCTGTCTGCCATTCTGACCATTATTAAATCGTCTCCAGAGGAAATAGCTCCGTATCACCCTCGCTGGCTCGTCCAAAGCTCTGGCCAAGTTCTGTAGCGAAGTCTTTCCCGTTTTCGGTTGTGGTCGCCGGCCGCTGGTCCTCGCTTAACAGTTGCACCCTGAGCCCCAGGCTTTGCAACTCCTTCATCAGTACGTTGAACGATTCAGGGACGCCGGGCTGCCCGATGGGCTCGCCTTTGACGACGGCCTCGTATGTCTTCACACGGCCGGCAACGTCGTCAGACTTGACGGTGAGCACCTCCTGCAGGTTGTAGGCAGCGCTGTAAGCCTCCAGGGCCCACACTTCCATCTCACCGAAGCGCTGGCCACCAAACTGGGCTTTCCCGCCCAGGGGCTGCTGGGTGATCATGGAGTACGGCCCAGTGGAACGGGCGTGAATCTTGTCCTCAACCAAGTGAATGAGCTTGAGAATGTAGATGCTGCCCACAGTCACCAGTTGGTCGAACTCCTCTCCGGTGCGCCCATCGAACAACTGGAACTTGCCAAACGTGGGCGGAGCGATGAGCCTCTCGCGGTGAACCTTCAGCGCCTCTTGGTGCATCTGGTAGAAGTCCATGCCGGTGGTGTCCCGTCCGGCCACATTCTCCAGCCATAACCGGAGGCAGGTCTCGCGGGGCTAGGCCCAGCTTGGATTCGTCAAATATCTCATAGGGGTCGCAGCCCCTTTCTGACAGCCACCGGTACACCACTTCCGTTTCGTCGAGATGGTGCCCGTTGCCATTCTTGTGCCCGTTGCCGTTCTCGTTCCCGTTCCCGTTGTACGCCGCGGTGGCCTGTTCCCGGAACCAGATCCTGGCGAGAGAGTCCTCGATGGCCTCGTCGGTCGCTCCATCGAACACCGGAGTCTTGGCCTGGAACCCCAACCGGTCTGCGGCCATACCGAGGTGCGTTTCCAGCACCTGGCCCAAGTTCATCCGGGACGGCACGCCGATGGGATTGAGGATGATGTCGACAGGTGTCCCGTCTTCCAGGTAGGGCATATCCTCTTCGGGAAGGATGCGGGCAACGACGCCCTTGTTGCCGTGGCGTCCCGCCATCTTGTCCCCGACGGAGATTTTGCGAGTCTGGGCGATCCACACCCGGACCGCTTCTTTGACGCCGGGATTCAGGTCGTCCTTGTTTTCCCGGCTCAGCACCTTCACGTCAATGACCTTGCCGCGCTCCCCGTGCGGCACACGGAGGGAGGTGTCTTTAACGTCGCGGGATTTTTCGCCGAAAATCGCCCTGAGCAGCTTTTCCTCTGCTGTGAGCTCGGTCTCGCCCTTCGGAGTAACCTTGCCGACCAGGATGTCGCCCGGTGTAACGTCCGCGCCCACGCGGATGATGCCCCGCTCGTCCAGATCTCGCAGGCTGGCCTCACCCACGTTGGGGATATCTCGAGTGATTTCCTCGGGGCCCAGCTTGGTCTCCCGGGCCTCCATCTCGTGCCGCTCTATGTGGATCGAGGTGAAGTAGTCGTCCCTGTATAGCCGCTCGCTGACGATGATCGCGTCCTCGTAGTTGTAGCCTTCCCACGACATGAACGCCACCAACACGTTCTGGCCCAGGGCCAACTCCCCGTTCTCAGTGGAGGAGCTATCCGCCAGCACGGGTGCCCACCTGGACCACGTCACCACGAGTAGCTATCGGACGCTGGTCGAAACACGTTCCCTGGTTGGTGCGGGAGAACTTGATCAGCGGGTGGATGTGCTCGACGCCTTCCACGTCTGTGATCACGATCTTGCGGCCGTTTACCGAGGTAACCACCGCGTTCACACGGGACGTGACCAACTGGCCGCTGTCGCGGGCCACTCGTTCCTCAATGCCGGTGCCTACAGTGGGCGACTGGGGCCGCAGCAGGGGCACTGCCTGCCTCTGCATGTTGGAGCCCATCAAGGCACGGTTTTGCATCGTCGTGCTCCAAGAACGGTATCAGCGCCGCAGACACGCTCATGATCTGCATCGGCGAAACGTCCATCAGGTGCGCTTCGCTCGGCGAGCCCTGGGTGTACTGATCGCCCACTCGGATCTCGATCCGGTCCTCTACAAACTGGTTCAGATAGTCCAGTTTCGCGTTGGCCTGGGCAATCCTGAATTCTTCTTCCTTGTCGGCCGACAACCAGATGATGGAATCCTCGGGCCTCGGCGCCGACGCTTCCAACACGAAGGGTCGCACCTTGATCATGGTGCCCGCGGGCAGACGCCGTAGGGCAGCAATTCTGTTGGCGCCAATTGCGACGTCCTCGTTCACGATCACGTGCCCGTTTTCAGGATTCACAACCGACTCGGCGACTATTCGCCCTCGAAGGTCGGGCGAGTCCTTGGACAGCTCGTGGCACACCACCCGGTAAGGCGATTCGATGAAGCCGAACTCATTGACGCGGGCATAGGAAGCCAGCGAGCTGAGGAGGCCGATGTTGGGGCCCTCCGGTGTCTCGATGGGGCAGATGCGCCCATAATGCGAGAAGTGCACGTCGCGGACGTCGAAGCCAGCCCGTTCCCTGGAAAGGCCTCCGGGGCCGAGAGCGGATAGCCGCCGCTTTGTGAGTCAGTTCAGCCAGCGGGTTGGTCTGGTCCATAAACTGCGACAGCTGCGAACCACCGAAGAACTCGCGTACCGCCGCCACAACTGGCCGGATGTTGACCAGTCCTTGGGGCGCCGCGGTTTCGGGATCCACCAGCGTCATCTTTTCCTTGACCATGCGTTCCATGCGGAGCAGACCCACGCGCACCTGGTTCTGCACCAACTCTCCCACGGCCCGAACGCGGCGGTTGCCCAGGTGGTCAATGTCGTCCACCTGTCCCTCGCCCTGGTTGATGACGATCATCATGCGAATGACCGAGATGATGTCGCCACGGGTCAGGGTCATTGGCCCCTTGTCCTCCGTCATTCCGAGGCGGCGGTTGAACTTGTACCTTCCCACGCGCCCGAGGTCGTACCGCCTGGGCTCGAAGAACAGGTTGTTGATCAGGTTACGGGAGTTTTCCAAGCTGGGCGGCTCACCGGGCCGCAGGCGCCGGTAAAACTCGATCTGCGCTCCGGCAATCCGCTGTGCCGCTTCCTCGTCGTATTCCTCGCCCTCGTGCAGCCAGTCCCAAAGTGAATGGAGGTCCTCCTCGCGAAAAGACACGCTGCCCGGTTCGGCGGCGGGGTCGCTGCGAAGTGTGGCCTGCATGTAGCGGCGCGTTTCGTCGGTGTCGACCTCGTCAAACAGCGCCGTAATCTGGTCGTCGTAGGCCACGCCAAGGGCACGAAGGAACGTGCTGGCCGAGACCTTGCGCTTCCGGTCGACTTTGACTGAGAGCACGTCCTTGTTGCTGGTTTCGAATTCGAGCCAGGCGCCCCTTGATGGGATCAGCTTGGCCATGCACAGCCCGCGATTGCTGCTCGGGCTTCGCTCGGTTACGAAATAGATCCCCGGAGAACGGACCAACTGGCTCACCACGACGCGCTCGGCGCCGTTGATGATGAACGTGCCGTTATCGGTCATCATGGGGAAGTCCCCCATGAATATTTCCTGCTCCTTGATCTCGCCCGTTTCTTTCATTACCAGGCGAGTTCTCACATACAGAGGCTGGGAGAAGGTTATCTCCCTTTCCTTGCATTCTTGCGGGGAATACTTGGCAGGACGGAATTCGTGCTCCTGGAAGTGAAGCTCATACTTCTTGTTGGTGTAGTCCAATATGGGCGAAACTTCGCGGAATACATCCTCCAGTCCCTGCTCGTTGAACCGCATAAGACTGGATTTGGCTCTGCATCAGGTTGGGGACATCGAGAACTTGCAGGGTAGAACGGGCATACGACGGACATCCTGCCCTTGGAAGCGAGTGCATAAACGTAACCGCGGCAAAAAAGGCCATTCCGAATCTCCTTACCGAGATTAACTGCGACGGACAGGCGAGCGCTCAGGGACGAAAAAGCGGGAAGGATGGAAGGTTGTAAAATAAAGCCAACGGTGAGAGGGGGCGGGGGGGACCGGGAGGGGGGACGGGGGGGGGGCGCGGGGGGGTGCTGGGGGTTGACGGCTCGGTACAAGGCGGGGGAGTAGAGAGGGAGAGGGGGGAGTCGGGTTGGTGGGTAGGGGAACTGCTTTGAACTGTGAATTTGCACTTTTAAATTGAATGACTCTATACGAGGCATAAATTGGTTCACAGAGTCATAGTTTACAATTTACCTATTCAAGTATACGTGATGATAGGGGGATTTTTGTCGAATACCCACCTCGGTATGCTTCCGATGCGTTATCTGATACGGTCCAACGCACTCTGCCCAAATCCTGCTTAAGTGATCTGTCCTGTCTAACCAAATTCTGCGAACGCTTAGCTGGCTCGAACGCTTTGGTTCCTCCTCGTGACAAGATTCCTAAATATATATAACTGAAAATACATATGGCGGATTTTGCGGGGTTATTTTTTTTGTCTTCCTGTTTGCAAACGCCCCAGGATTGCTGACAGTTGCTCATTGCCAAGCCTCATGACACTCCTTTAGGCATCGATGTGTGGCTGTGTCTCGGCAACCGGGCGACTGCCGCTCCTATTGTAAATCTGTAATGCTCTCGGCGTATGGTGTACCTAGAATGTGTACGATTTTGCATAGTAGGGAATGCCCGGTATTGGTGTATGAGATGAGATTTGAGAGACTGCACTTTCGGGAACTGAGCGGTGCTGATTGCGCTTATCGCGTACTCAGGAGGATGTTGCTCAGATATGGGGGCTAAGGTGGAATCGTGCTTAGTGGATTCGTGTGAATTATAATAACTTTCTGTCCACCACCGTGCTGATTGTACAGAGGATGCGGCGTATCTAAATCCGGCCATGAAGATCTGCAGGTGTGAAAATTTGGTTTGGCAAATGTTGAGAACAATTGTGACCGAATGGGCTGTTTTGGGATTGTTAGTAGTTCTATCATACCAGCCCTGTGTGTAAGCCCTGTATATCCACCGTATTGTGTTAGTCTTTTTTTGAGTTGAAGGATGGGCTGTAATTGCGTGATGATGGGTTGAGCTGCAATGAGAATAAGCTGGGTGTCCATTGGTTGACCGCATTTTGTGCTGTGACACGGCAGAGTTGTGTGTTTCAGTGTAGCCTCACCGGGCTGGTAGCTTGCGGCTTTTGTTTATGGTTCTATGGTATGGTGGAATCGCTTTCCCGTTGGTGATAGGATTGCATCGGATCGCTTGGCTGCAGGATGCATGCTCGAGGATTCGGTTTGCCGTACGCGTAATGTTTGTGTAATGGCGTGTGGGCTTGGTTTGCTGGCTACAGCGACCGTATAGGCTGTGGAGTGGGTTGTTGGTGTGCTCGCATTGTCGTGGCCCATGTGGCCTGCTTGAATTGGGTGTTCCCAAGATGCCAGCGCTGTGGCATGATTGCCAGTGGATGGCGCTGCGGACGAGAGGGTGTAGTCCGTCCGGCTGAGGCAGTAATGTAGAACCGTACGCTCGGCGTGGGTCTTGGTGTGTCACTCAGTTTGTCGTCTCTTGCAGAGACGATGCGCTGCTGTCCAGGCGAGCGGGTTGTGCGCCATCTACCTGCGTTCAACGCCTAGCCAGCCCAGTGTGGCATGCGAAACGGCTGATCGGGAGACTGGTTGAGTCCGAGCGCTCGTTACTTGAGGTCGCGTTATAGCATGCTTCGATATTAGGCGCTGGCTTGGTCTGCTGTGTCAGGCTCCTGTGCTCTAATGCGTCTCCACATCCCGGTTTCGTGTGATGATAGCAGGATAGTGTGTAGTCTGGCTGATAGTGGCAAGTTGGGAACCGGGCGGGTGTGTGTTCGTGATCCCGCGACGTGTGAGCCGTAACTAGGCGTCTGGCGCGGCTTCTTAACTCTCAAAGGAGGTGTTAGGTGGTCTCGGCACATGCGGCGGCTCGACCAGTCATCAGTAGGTGTATGGGCGTCCCATCCGTTCGGGTATGGCGCTCGATGAGCTTGCGAAGGCTTTTGTGCTGGCGGTATGGGATGGAGTAGCGCGACATCCAGTCTTGCGTGAAGACGGGCGATCGCATGGCGTGGGTGTAGAATGGACTGCTGTCGGCCCGCACCGTGAGTGACCTCTGGCCCTTGGCAATAGTGCGTGATCCACGTCCTCTACTGAGTCTCGCTTAGGTATATTTTTGAGATATTTTTTTGTGAGCGGGCGCCTTCTGAACAGTGTTGGCCCTGGGCCCTCGCGTACAAGTCCGCGGATGTCAATCACTTGTCAACGGTGGGGCGTGCTCTCACTGGCCCATTGCAACGTTGCAGTGATAGCCCGATTGCCGGTATAGCTCGGTGCGTTCTTTTTTTTTTTTTTTCTTCTTTCTGGAGCTGACCCACCCCCTCCTTGGTGTTGCTCAGTCCGAAGTATGCATGATGGTGGTATTGCCGTCGAGGTCGATGGTGATGTCGGCGCTGTCGCCGGAGTCCCGCCCCAGCGTCGCTCCAGACCCGGGCCAGCAGTGTCTCCTGTTGCTATATGTCCGGTCCATGTGTTGCGGATCGTTTGGTCCCCAACGGAATGTGGCGGCAGGAAGGTGCCAGGGTTGATGTGCCTTGACCCTCCAGTCGAGAACACCGGTCGTCGTCCCCCAATCTTCGTGCCAGCCGCTAAGCATCCGCCTCGCCTTCCGTGCAATTAATTCGGGGTAGGAGATTCGGAATGGTGTTTGCCCGCTGTTCGTAATGGGCACTCGCTTCAAATGCAGGATGTCCGTTCTAATGCCCGTATACCCCAAGAGTCTCGATGTCCCAAACCTGATCCAGA